CGCCGAACAGAGTCAAGAGCGTCTTTGGGCGCGCTCGAGATCATGGGTTGCGCAGTGGCTACCCGGCATCTTCCTCGGCAGCCGCCAGGTCGACGACGAGGCGGGCTAGGTGCGCCAGTGAACGGACTGCCTTCTGGGCCGCGAAGACTTCCAACCGCTGTGCGTGGCCCGTCAATGCGGACGGGTCGCCACCGAGATGCGCCGCCAAGCCTGGGGAAACGCCGGGATCGGTCGCGCGCCCCTGGAACTTCGCCTCGCGCGCCCGACGTGCATGAGCGCGTGAGTGTTTGTGGGCGCGTCAAAAAGCGTCGCTGCTCTCAGAAGAGTCCGCGGTACATCGTGCCCGCCGTCTTTGGGTCAGCTCGGGCGTCTTCGACGCGCTGCCCGAGGCAATTGGCGACGGCCCCAACCTGGACGTCAAGGACGCGTGCCCGATCGACGACTTCGACGAGCCTAAGAAGATCGACGTTATGCAGCTCGACCGCGTTCCGCACTGCCGACCTGCACGCTGGAAGTGGCGCCGCGTGCATCTTGCCACCCTGCGTCCCGCTCGGCGGTGGCCCGCCATCGAGATGCTGACGGGTGACTGGACGGCGTCTCACAGAATGTACGTCCCGCCCGAGAAGCGCTTCTGCCTTTTCGGCTGCGGCGCAGGCGAGGGCCACGATCATATCCAACATTGCGTGACCTGCGGGGAGATGCCGCACCGGCTAAGCTTACCCGCGGACAGGTGAAAAGCGAGTTCCTGTCCCGCATCGGGTTCCCCTCGCTCGACGCCGGGGTCCACGGCGAGAACGGGGCCCCAAACGCAGTGGCCAGGATGTCCGTGGCCATCCGCGTCTACCGTCTACCACACGACGAAAAACGACTCCATCCCAACCCCCTACAGCCAGCAACGCGCCGCCGTTGGTGCCGACCACCACGCCGTGAGATTCCCGCTTGGCCTCTCGGGCGGAGCGGGGCCGCGCCGCGGCTAATGACAGACGAACGTCTTATCGGCGACATTCGCCCTTACGCCTGCCCCTCCCTCCCTCCTCCCTCGTCCTTTTCCTTCCCCCTGTTCCTTTGCCCTCCGTTCTCCTCCCTCGTCCTTCCGTTTTTCCCACCTCCCCCTCCTGCCTCCTCCCCCCTCCTCCTTTCACGTGCCTCCTCCTCCTCTTCCTCCTCCTCCTCCTCTTCCTTCTTCCTTCCTCATCCGCTTCCTTCCTGCCTGCTTCTCCCCTCCCCCCTCTTCCTTGCCTACTTCCCCCCTCCAGTTTCCTCCTTTTCCTCTTGCGACCTCCTCTGTCTTCCTTCCTCATCCCTCTTCTACGTCTCCTCCTCCTCCTCCTCATTCTTCTCCGCCTCCTCCTTCTCCTTCTGACTCCCTTCCTCCTCTTCCTCCTCCCTCCTACTCCCTCCGCCTTGCTGTTGCTCCTCCTCCTCTTCCTCCTCCTCCTGTTCCCTCCTCCCCCTTTTTCTCCCCTTCCTCCTGCCCCTCATCCTCCTGTTCCCTCCTCCTCCTGCCCCTCCTCCTCCTCCTCCTCATCCTCCTTCTCCTCCTCCTCTTGGGTTGCCCTGGGTGGTTCCAGATCTACCGGCATGCTGGGAGGGCGCGTGTTTCCGTGCACCGCAACCTCGGCCACGCCAGGTTGTTTTTTTGAGTGAGGCAGTTCGAATTGTCGGGGGAGATGTCCTGGATTGCTCTTCGTTGCGATGAAGATAGCGGCATATAACCCACTAGCTGCGTCGACCAATGAACGATTCCATGGCGTTAGCCAATAGTTAAACGAATGGGGCATTGTACTACGATATGGGACACGGAGGTGGGCGGGGGCAGAGGGGTGCGCAACTGCGAATCTACAGCGCCGCTGGGCATTTACTTTTTCGAGGGTGGAGGGGGGAACTGGCTGCAAAGACATGCGGCTCACTTGTTAGTGTCTTCCAGTCGATCTCCTGGGAAGCGCTCCGTTCTTCCTTCATGCTACCCAGTAGTATCCGAGGGGGGGCAGCAGGGATTCGCATCAGATCGAGGACAGTGGATTCTGGCGTTTTCCCAGTCTACTTTGCTCGAACACATGTGAAGAACTATCACGAAACAACAAAACGGGTCGCCGACTAGACAGACATAGTGTGACCGACAGGCCAGTTTCACCATTATAGTAATGGGGAATACATCAACAGCAAAGTTTGACTCCGCAGGGCCTCTGGCGGGATCATTGAAGGAAACTGTGACAATACGGCTGGACAAGCGGACGAGCAACTTGATAATGACGATGGAGCGGCGTTTGTGGAAATTCTGTAAGGTCAGCTCGCTATCAATCGCGTCCGCATTCTACGGCACAGGATCCTCTCATTATTGCGCGAAAAAGGACTTGCAGTAAGTCTGACCATGTAACGGTTACGACCGCAGCCCTACCATTGATCACGAAGTGCATGATTTTCAGGACGGCGGCTAAGAGACTGCACCTGATCAAGGCTTGGAACCGCAGAGACCAGATTCCTTTCGGACTGGTGCCCCATGTGGGTGATCGATCGAGCTTGAACTGTCGAAGGAGGAAGAAGGAACCACAGTTCGACATGGATAATCGAACGGAGCGTTTGGATAGATGGAAGAGGAGACCTGGATTGTTTCAGGCCCTCGAGATGAGGATAGAAGAGGCGCAGGACGATGTATGGAGAGCCTGTCTTGACAGATTACGCCAGACAGAGCTTGGAGGGCATGGAGCGATGCCGCCCGCGCCGTCTTGGACGACTGCTTCAGACAAGGCAGGACGGTCCTCGGCCAAGCTGAGGAAGGGGTCAAGGCGCGCAGGCTGGCTCCGCTCCAGGGGTGGGGCGACTTGGGGTGGACGGCAATGGTGGAGAGGGAGGTGGGCCAGGAATTCGAGGAAGTGACTGGATTCCTCCACGACGCGACTGATTTAACGAAGAGATTGAGAGGGAGCTTGGAAAGACGAGGGAAGCCAACGTGGTCGAAGAGATATGGTAAGTCCGCGAAGAACTATTTCAACGCGATGCGTCGGCTCCGTATCCAATGCCAAAGGAACGAAGAGTTCCCAAGAACATGCTCAATGTTGTAGCAGAAACTTGTTGGGACAAGGGCACGTGGACGGGATGGGGGCTACGACGGGCGCCAGAGGAGGAGGGATTGGCAGGGGGAAATATGATGTGGAGGGTTACGAAGCAAATGCGATTTGGGAAGGCGCATGTTGATGATCATGGGATCCACGAGTGTAACCGCATCGGGGAAATCGGGCGCACAACTAGATGGGAACGAGACGGCGGCTTCTACGGTCTACGGCAAACCGCCACTTCCAAGGGCAACCCGGGGGGGCAAGGCAGGGGGCGAAACATCGGACTTGGAGACGGATGGACCTGCAAATCTCAGACACGATTGGACGACATACGATTGATGTGCAGACGAGTGCAGACGACGCCACTGGCGCGGCACCGACCTCTATCTTTCGACTCGGACACGAGCAGTGGGAAGGAAGGGTTCGGAGGAAAGATGGTGATGCACGCTGGCGACTCGATGTGTTGGCCTGGCGTTGCAGAAAACACTCGAGAGAGAGAGGGAGAGAGAGAGCCTCACCCAAACCACCCCAGCTGGGCGCAGGGAGGACTGGCGCACAAGGGCAGTGGGAATGCGATGTTGCGTGCGTTCGCACTGCAGTGGAGAGCTCAGCAGCACAGAGTGAGCGTCGCGCGCAGCAGCTATGATTGCGCGAACGAAATTGCCATTGCGAACATGGCCTCCTAAATGCATCTCATCCTCTTGGAAACGCGCTACGCCATCTTCGGGGGGCCCGGGCGAGGCATCGCCGTGGTAGAGGGTGGGGAGGGGGGGCGAGGGGCGAGGAGCGCCGCCGCCCGTGACGCTCGCGCAGGGGAGCTCGGGCTGGACAATGACCCTAGCCCCCCACCCCTCTCGTACCGAGTTGTGTAGGGAGTTCCAGCACCCTGCGCGGGTTTCCCCTCTCGCCCAACGGTGTTAGAGGGGCGCCACAGGCAGGCCGAGGGTTTCCACAGAAACGCTCGCCCCTGCATGCGTATACACCCTCCTCCTCCTCCTCCTCCTCCTCCTCCTCCTCCTCCTCCTCCTCCTCCTCCTCCTCCTCCTCCTCGGCTGGAGCTGCTCGGCCAGCGCGGGGGGCCGCCTTCTCAGCTCACGAGCCCATGTTTTCGAGGCAGGGCAGCTGAAGAGGCTGTGGTAGGTCGTGCCCAAAGGCCCCCTTGCACTCACCAGTAGCGCGGGTCGACCTCAGCCCGCTCCGCGACAAGGTCGTACTGCGACACCAGGCCCCCCCGAGGTCAAGGCCTCCAGCAGGTGCAGCATCTCCGCGTGCCCCTCTGCGCGGAGGTGATCGAGGGCGAAACGAAGTGGCCCCAGGTCGGGCGGCCGTCCCCGCAGCACGTCAAAACCCGGGTGGTTCGCGGCCTCCCGCATGAGGTGGTGGTGGGCCTTTGCCTCCATGCAGCTCGCCGGGAACTTCGGGCTCGGCCTTCTGAGGTCATGGAGGGTACACGCGGTCGTCCTTCCACGCGTGCCAAGAGATCGCTTCCCAGCGAGGGTTCGACATCGCCTGCAGGCCCCGCCTCCTTGGCCCAGTTCTGGGACTGCCGCCGAAGAGGCCGAACACCGCTGCGGTCCACGACTGCCAGAGGAAACGCACATTCGCGGAGTACGCTGGATCGCGCCTCCAAGCCTTGCCCTCCTGCAGCGCGAACCGCATCGTCCTCGGCCTCCTGCCCGCCTCGCCCGCGGTGGCCTTCGCGAGCGCCGTGCAGGATTGAGGCTGGCCCGCCGGTGCGAAACACCGCGCTGACCGTGGCGCCTGCCTGGCGGAGGGACATGAACCTGGAGGCCATCTCCCCCAGGGCGTCGCAGCCTCGTCTGGAGGACCTCCACGAAGCTGGGACGTCCTCTCCCTCCCTCCTCCCTCCTCCCTTCTCATCTTGTTTCCCTGGAGGCTGAGAGGCTGCATGCGTGCATTGGAGGTTGGGGAACCCCTTCTGAGGCTCGCCAACGCCAGCCCGGAGTCCACCAACGCCGACATCGCCCTGCAGAAGCAGCTCGCGGAGCAGGACCGCTTCCCCCCCCCCAATGTGTGTTTCTCCGAGATGTCGTGCCAGCGCAGCTCCGCGATTCCCGCCCTGAGCTACCTCGGAGCGCCCAGGCATCCAGCGTATTGAACAACATGTTGACGGAGGTTTTTCGTCGTTGGCATTTGGGAGCCCTCACGCGGCCTCAGGACCGTCGCAGAACGACTCAGGATGAAAAGTTGGCCTTGGTGAAATGGTCCCGATTTCGGGGGCCGCGTATTGGAATTACCCTGCGACGTAAACCCACTTGCATCAAGTGGCAAGAAGAGTTGGCCCCAATTTGCCCGGTCAGTGACAGTGCAGGAGCCGTTGTATGTTGTGCAAGCTACATGTGATGCGCTCACGTGGCACGATTCACAGGACAATGACAGAAGAACGAAGAGCGAGGGCCCAGGTGTAAGGATGACATGGGGGCGGGAACGCAGGGCAGGACAAGGACGCGTGGGGGGCCGAACCGTCAGCGCGGCAGCAGCAGAGGGAAAGTCGCAGGGGGCAGAGGACGACGACGAAAGTGATGGGAGGAGCCTATCTCGCCCGCCAATTTCCCTGCTTCCTTCCTGCACGTTTCAGTGCGGGAGGTGAACGCTACAAAACGCGCCGCCAGGTCTGCGGGCGGCCTGCGACAGCGCCCCGCTGGACCCCCCAGGAGTCCTCGAAAGTCGCGAAAAGTTCGCAGGACGCTGACCAGCGAGAATGATGCCGAATCTGAGTCTGCGCAGTGCGTCACTATGCTGGACCCCCCTGCAGCCCTCGAAAGTGGCGACGGTTTCGCAGATCGCAGCTCCCGAGGGATGGCGAGGTCTAGTGTGAGTCTGGGTAAAACGTCAGTCCGCGGGACTCCCCAGCAGCCCTCGACAGGGGCAGCAGTTTCGCAGATCGCAGCCCCCCAGTGATGGCAAGCTCTAATCTGAATTTGGGTAGGACGCCACTCCGCTGGACCCCCCAGCGGCCCTCGAATGCGAATGTGGCAACAGTTCCGCAGATCGCAGGCCCCCTTGGGATGGCGAGGTCTAGTTTGAATCTTGGTAAGACGTCGCTCCGCTGGACCCCCAAGCACCCCTCGAAAGTGGCGACAGTTTCGCAGATCGCAGCCCCCGAGGGATGGCGAAGTCTAATTTCAATATGGGTACGACGTCGCTCCGCTGGCCCCCCGCAGTCGCCCCCGAAAGTTGCGACGGTTTCGCAGATCGTTGCCCCCCTGCGACATTGTCGCAGATCGCAGGCCCCCTTGGGATGGCGGTATCTAGTTCGAATCAGGGTGAGACGTCACTCCGCTTGACCCCCCAGCAGCCTTCGAGCGTGACGGCAGTTTCGCAGATCGCAGCGGCCTAGCTAGAATCTAGGTAAGACGTCACTCCGCTGGACCCCCCAGCAACCCTCGAAAGTGGCGACAGTTCCGCAAATCGCAGCCTCCCAGGGATGGCGAGCTCTAATTTGAATCGGGGTAAGACGTCTCTCCGCTGGACCCCCAGCAGCCCTCGAAAGTGGCGACAGCACCGCAAGCCGCAGCCCACCCAGGAATGGCGAAGCCTCATTTAAATTTGAGTAAGTCGTCACTCCGCTGGATCCCCCAGCAGCCTTCGAAAGCGGCGACAGTTTTGCAGATCGCAGCCCCCCAAGGATGGCCAGGTAGGAGGCAAACTGGCCCGCATGAAGGAGCGAGGTGAGAGGCAGGCGAGAAAGGGAGAGGGGGCGGGAAGGAAGGAAGGCGGGAGGTGTGCGACCGCAGTGCTCTATTCAAAACGAGAACCCAACGCAGGAGGGTTGTGAAAATCAAGACATCGGATGTCTGGGGACGTCGGGGGGGACTCTGTCGGAGGCCCAGAGGTTGGCACCAACCCCACTATCGGTGGTTAGCTCCACCGAGGGAAGACGATCCCGATTTCGGTGATTGTGGTAACACTGGGGTTTCTCAGGTGGCCGAAACATGACCATGAGCACCAGAATGAGGTCCCAGATTACCATCAGCACCATAATCAGCACCAACCGCACCATCAGCACCAAATAACCGGTGGAAGCATCCTCTTATGTTGGTGTTGGTGCCGGCCTGCAGGCCTCCAATTTGTAAGATTCTTGTCGACACGGCCGGGGGCAGCTCCAGAGGCGGGTTCAGGGTGGACCTCCCTGGAGGGGTCTGGGGTGATTGGTTTGATTGGACTTGGAGGAGGAGGAGGAAGAGGAGGAGGAGGATGAGGAGGAGGAGGAGGAAGCCCGAGAGATGGGTCAGGTTGGGCCCCCTAATGGTTCCAGAGTGCTTGTTTTTGAGCGGATTCGGGGATGTGGGACAGGAGGAGGAGGAGGAGCAGGAGGAGGAGCAGGAGGAGCAAGAGAGTGAGAACAGATAACGAGGGAGGCAGGACGGGGAATTGGATGATATGAATTGGGAGCCATGCGATGAGGTTCCGATCAAGCCGCTCATGCCAGCAGGCGGATGGGGTGATATTGAGGATGGCGTTGATGAGGACGATAACGACGGCGATACGTGTGATGATGATGATGATGATGATGATGGTGATGGTGATGGTGATGGTGGTGGTGGTGATGATGCTGATGATAACGATGATGATGATGATACTGATGATGATGACGATGATGATGATCATGCCAATGATGCTGGTGATTATGCTGCTGATGAAGATGACGACGACGATGACGACGAACATGCTGATGATGCTGATGATGATGACGATGATGATGCTGCTGATGATGATGGTGGTGATGCTGATGATGAATCCAACGACGATGATGCTGTTGATGATGATGCTGATCATCATCATGATCATGATGATGATGATCATGCTGATGACGATGATGATGCTGCTGATGATGATGATGATGATGGTCATCATCAGCATCATTATCATGATTGTGATGCTGGTTGCGGGTTGTAGTAGTCACAGCGATTATGGTGGTTATTATTATTATGATGATGATGGTGACGATGGTGTTGATATTGATGAGGACTCTTACCATTATGATGCTGACGACCAAATCATGGTGGTGATGCTGATGCGACTGCTGCTGACATTGAGGATGTTGACGACGACGATGATGATGAGTATGATGATGAAGATGACGACGCAGATGACCTTGCTTATTGTTGTACTGCTGATGACGATGATGATGACGATGACGAGGATAATGATGATGATGATGATGATGATGATGATGATGATGATGCTGATGATGATATGATGATGATGATGATGATGATGATGATGATGATGATGATGATGATGATTTTGATGGTGGTGGTGGCGATGATGATAATGATGATGATCACGATGACGACGATTCTGATGATGATGGTGATGGTGGTGGTGATGATGCTGATGGTTTCTGATGATGCTGCTGTTGCTGCTGATGATGATAATGATGATGCTTATGATGCTGATGATGATGACGATGATAATGATGGTGGTGGTGATGATGATAATGATGACGATGACGATGACGACGATTACGATGATACTGATGGTGATGGTGGTGATGATGATGCTGCTGATGATGATGCTTATGATGCTGCTGTTGCTGCTGCTGATGATGCTGCTGATGATGCTGCTGATGATGATGGCGATTACAATGACGAGTATAGTGATGATGATGGTGATGGTACTGTTGGTGGTGATGATGATAATGATGACGATGACGATGACGATGATGATGATGATGATGATGATGATGATGATGATGATGATGATGATGATGATGATGATGATGATGATGGTGATGGTGATGGTGGTGGAGATGATGCTGCTGATGGTAATGCTGATGATGCTGCTCATGCTGTTTTTTCCTCGACATCAGGACCAAGTATGCAGCTGGTGGTCCGTCGCAGAGAGCATAACAGAGTCATGTCCCGATAAACCCGCGTGGGGCGAGTGCACTCGGGGTGCTTCGACGCACAGCCAGAGACCGTGTATCTAGCTTGCATGCGAGCGGGTGCTTACGAAAGACTGGCGGTGGCCGATCCGAGTCGCAAGTAATTCAAAGCTCCATTACACGCAGGCGAGCGGGTGCCCGAGTCACTTAACGTAAAAATGATGCAAATATGGCCGTGGCTCAGAGGGTGCGTCAGAAAGGAAGTGAGACAGCATCTCAGTCGACGTTTCGCCATCTTCGATGCCTCGTTGGCGGCGCCCACGATCTCCTCAAGAGGGGGCAGGTCTCCATCCTCCAAGGCCTGCTGAGGCCAAGCTGAGCATGCGGTGGATGCGCCCTGCGATCTGCGTAGGCCCGTATAGGAGAAAAAAGATGGGACAGCTAATGCACAGTGAGGATGCGACGGGCACCATCCTACATCCTACGTTCCGTCGACCTTGGCCATGTGCTTGATCAGGTCAACGACACGGCACGAATAGCCCCACTCGTTGTCGTACCAGGCCACTAGCTTCACGACCGTGGGGTCCAGCATGATGCCCGCCTTGGAATCGAAGGTGCTGGAGATGGGGCATGTCTCGAAGTCGGTGGACACGAGAGCCTCGTCGCAGTAGCCCAAGTATCCCTTCATGTCGCCCTCGGAACGCCTCTTGATCTCGGCGCAGATCTCCTCGTAGGTCGTCGCCTTCTCCAGCCCACAGGTCAGGTCCACGACCGACACGTCGATGGTGGGCACGCGGAAGGCCATGCCCATGAGCTTGCCCGCCACCTCTGGAAGCCAAAGATGAGAATCTTGTTGGACGCCATGTAGGAGTGCATGCAGTAATGCCGGAGGGCCTGCGCTTTCACGTTCATCTGGCAGAACGTTGCTCAGGGGCTCGTCGTTCTTTATGAAGTCGCCGTCCTGCCAGAAGCCATAGCAGGCCTCGACGAAAGGCTTCGGCTGCAGGCCGTGCGTGGGTTTGATGATGGTGTCGACCACCAGGCCAGGCCCGTCGAACAGGCGCAGGTGCTGCGGCGGGACGTAGATGTCGTAGATCTTGTCGTAGCCGACGTCACCCATCCCCTGGTTAACCACCTTCTCCACCTTGTCGCCCAGCACC